ACACTCCCCTGAGAAGATACACTTATTAAATATCACTTAATTCTTTTAAACAACGAGATGGATTCAGATCAGGCCTAGGCAGGGTCACCTGGGCCGTTGTTCTGAGGCTGCATGAGGGCTGGCTGCCCGGGACCCGCGCGTGGCGGTACCTGTGCGCCACCTACTGGGCAGTTTCCTTCAGTTCATTAGCAACCTGATTGCTGAGGGCAAGGAGGCTGGCTTTGTGCAATGAGCTTCTTTTAAACAGAGACTTCCTCTACCTGCCTGTAGGTCTCCATTAGCTAGTACCGTGCTTGAGGCAAGGAACCACCTGATGAATGTTTGCAGGCAAGCAGGAGGGTGGCAGGTGGGGAGGGGGACAGAAAGAAAGGAGCTCCTGACATAGCAAGAGCTCCATATATCTTTGATGAAAGAATGGGTGGCACCTGCACCTCTTATGTATGGGAGGAACTTGGTACCCAGGCTCTAATCGTCAGGTCCAGGAAACACCATTGAAATAATTCTAGTATTTACTGATTACCTGCTTTACATAGTGAAGTCCTACAGCGTGTAACAGGGAGAAGTTAAGCACCTAGGAGGGATGAGTGACCCAAGGAAACTATAGCAGGGGACATGCCAGAGAGTGATGAGGATAGAGCATCGCTACTCTGAGGTGACAACTGAGCTGGGAAAAGACAAGCAAAATGCAGTCATGGTGCATCTGCTAGAGGAGAGCCAGCACAAGTATTTGAAGCAGGAGACAGCTGAGAAAGGGGACAAAAGGGCCACCGTGGAGGATATCATAATTATATAAAGATCTCATTCAGACCTCAAATCTAAAACAAAAAAAAAAAATTTTTTTAATTCTATAGAATCTGTTCACATGACCCACTGTTCAAACTAAGTCACCTTGATTAGGCAAGAATCCAGACAGTGCCCCTACCTTTTAAATTCCTACTTAACCTTGTGTTTGATAAGCACTCTCTGATTATGATTCTACATATATTTACATAGACCCATGGGAATGTGAACTTAGTGCCACATGAGAGGACTGAAGCATGGTATGAGTGTATTTCCATTGATCAGCATGTCCATGTGTCAATCAATGTATTTGATAATCTTCTACAGGGCCTATCCATAACCAATGTAGCAAACAGGGCACAGAAAAACAAAGATCAAAGATATGTACAAGAACAAAGAAGCAGAATTAATATATAGGGGCAATCAAGGAGCGATGTAGAGAAGGGTCAGTGGTGGCTGGAACAGCAGTACTGAGTTCCAGAGGCATAGGTAGATGCTCCAACGGGTTAGGAAGATGACGCCATTATCTGCAGAATTTGGCCTTGTTAGAGTGTTGGCTTGAGTTTTCCTGAACGTCAGACATGGCTTTGATGCCTGAGGATCCTGTTCTAGAGGACCTGAGAACTCAGGCTTCCCCTGGCTAATGCTTCCCACCTGTTGGCCTCTGAGGTATACAGTTTGTTTAAGAGTTGAACCTGGCCAGGAGTGGTGGTGCATGTCTGTAATCCCAGAGGCTTCAGAGGCTGAGGCAGGAGGATCACAATTTCAAAGCCAGCCTTAACAACTTAGCAAAGCCCTAAGCAACTCAGGGAGACCCTGTCTCTACATAAAAATACAAAAAAAAAAAAAAAGGTTGGGGATGTGGCTCAGTGGTTAAACATCCCTGAGTTCAATCCCCTGTCCAATAAATAAATAAATAAATAAAAAGACAAATCTGCTTTATATATGAACCCACATGACTGAAGTGGCCCGAGCTTCCCAGTCAAACTTGGAAGCCCATCTGCCTTGGTCATGAAACCAGTTTCACTTCAATTGGAGACAACTTCTCATTCTATCCCTTGAGGCTGGAGAGGCCACAGCATGGCAGGGGGCAGTAGCCACAGAGGAGGAGGTTGACTGACCGCAGACTGTTAGTACAGACTTCCGGGATAACATAAGTGACGGGGCAGCAATGGTGTTGGTAGAGTTAATCCTACTCCACTTTAAGGAAAAAAGAGGTCCTGTTATCTATTTTATCTGGAAAGATCCAAAGTGTCTGGTCACAATCTAGACCTGTGTTGTCCCTTACATAGAGCACAGCCACATGTGGCACCTGAGAATCTGAAACACTAGTCTGAGTTGATGTATTTCCACCAGACTTCAAAGATTGGTATGAAAGGAATGCAAAATATCAGTCAGGCATGGTGCACACCTGCATCCCAGTAGCTCGGGAGGCTGAGGCAGGAGGATTTCGAGTTCAAAGCCAGCCTCAGCAACTTGGCGAGACACCGTCTCTAAATAAACTATGAAAAAGGTCTGGAGATGTAGTTTACCGGTTAAATGTCTCTGGGTTCAATATTTGGTACACATAAAAAAAAGAGTAAAATATCATATTAATAATTTGTATAGTGATTATATTTTGAAGCACCAATATTTTGTACACCAATATTTTATACAGAATAAAATATATTCTTAAACTCAATTTCACCTGTTTTTTTTTTTTCACTCTTTTAGATGTGGCTACTAGGAAATTTTTAAATTACACAGGCAGCTCAAGTTTGTGGCTTCCACTGTGTTCTCACTGGACAGTGCTGAGTCTAGACAGATTCTAACTATAACCATCCCAGGGTTGTCCTGGTCCTCAGCCATATGGCTGCACAGACCAGGCATCTGGGTGGCCCCCACCCTTCCACCACTCTCCCTCCCACTTTCTAAAGAGCCAGCAGAGCAGAGTGAATTTAAGACGTCTCAACGGATCTGGGTGAGGGCTCCTGGTTCTGGTATTTTACAGCTGTGGGATTTATAGAGGTCACATTTTCATTCTGTGCTTCGGCTTCCTGTCTGTAACATACTGACCTTGCTTGGAGCATCCCAAGTCCTTAGCTTGGCACTCACAGTTATCTGAGCTGCCTCCTAGATGGGGCTCCTCCCATGCCTCCCTTCCCTCTGTCCTTCCCTGAGCCTCTGGACTTTTCTGAGGCACCTGCAACCTAGGTTTCCATTAGTTAATGACACAAAGCATTAAAATATGGACAACACTCAGTGGCTGTCCCATGTAAAGGGGTCAAGGAAGGCTTGAAAAACATACCAAGATCCACAACAGTGAAGGGGGGGGGGAATGCATTTCCTTAAACTCTTATCTTATGCATTCCTTTCGTTTTTGACTTCTTTGGGGGCACATCTATATAACCTCTGTGGGCAGCCTGCCCAGGCCCAGAGCAAAGTGAACATTCAATGAATGTCAAAAGAAGGAATGTAAATCCCCTCGCCATCATTGTCACCTCTCATCTCATCACACAGTGGCCCATGTGACTGTCAGACTTTCATTTCAAATGGAATCCCTCCAGCATCTCTCCCTGTCTCCTGGACTTGCAGGCACAGAAAAGACAGTTTTGGGCAGATTTCAATGTGGGCTTTGTGGAAATGAGTCCTAGATTTTGACTGTCCAAGGATCCTAGTGGAACCCTGTGACAGCTGGAAGGGATTCTCCTGGGGAGTTTGACCAGGTCCACGTTTCTGGCCTCCTTGTTGGGAAAGACCTCAATGTAGATGTCTTTTTGTTGTAAAAGGGAGGGGCAGATAGAACATCAAACAAACAAAAATGTAGGTCATGCTAAAAGTGGCACCTTCCTAGTCCTCCCCACCACTACCCCATGCCCTGTTGGGCAAAAGAAAAAGACACATTCAGGGCTCCTTTGAAAAATTCATAGCGCTCCAAGAGATGAAGGATAAACAAAGACCAAGAAAATGAGATGTACACAGTCACCATACCCTGAAATATCTTTAGCCTGACTATTAGAGAATGGTACAGATGAAGAAAAAATTTCCAGGTGCGTCATAACTACTGTTAATGGTTTGGATGTGAGGTGTCCCCCAAAAGCTCATGTGTGAGACAATGCAAGAAAGTTCAGAGAAGAAATGATTGGGGAGTAAGAGTCTTAACCCAATCAGTGATTTAATCCCTCAACAGGGATTAACTAAGGGATAACTGAAGTAGTAGGGTGTGGCTAGAGGAGGTGGGAATTGGGGCATGGCTTTGGGGTATATATTTGTTATCTGGCAAGTGGAGTCTCTCTCTCTCTGCTTCCTGATCATGATGTGAGCTGCTTCCCTCCATCACACTGTCCTGCCATAATGTTCAGCCTCACCTCAAGAGCCCTGAGGAATGGAACCGGCCTTCTATGGTCTAAGACCCCTGAAACTGTGAGCCCTCAAATGAACCTTTTCTCCTCTCTAATTGTGCTGGTCAGATCCTGTTAGTCACAGCAGCAAAAAAGCTAAATGCTCGCTTCAGCAGCACATATACTAAAATTGAAAGAAACAGAGAAGATTGGCATGGCCCTCGTGCAAGGATGACACACAAATTCCTCAAGCGTTCCATATTTTTGAAATACAGATCAAAACTACTCTAAGATTTCATCTCACTCCAGTCAGAATGCAGCTATTAAGACTACAAACAATAATAAGTGTTGGTGAGGATGTGGGGGGAAAAGGCACACTCACATTGTTGGTGGGACTGCAAATTGGTGCAGCCAATATGGAAAGCAGTATGGAGAATCCTTGGAAAACTGGGAATGGAACCACCATTTGACCCAGCTGTCCCACTCTTCAGTCTATACCCAAAGGACTTAAAAACAGTTTACTACAGGGACACAGCCATATCAATGTTTATAGCAGCACAATTCACAATAGCTAAACTATGGAACCAACCTAGATGCCCTTCAGTGGATGAATGGATAGGGAAACTCTGGTATATATACACAATGGAATATTATTCAGCATGAAAAGAGAATAAAATCATGGCATTTACAGGTAAATGGATGGAGTTTGAGAATATCATGCTAGGTGAAGTTAGCCAATCCCCAAAAACCAAATGCCAAATGTTCTCTCTGATTTAAAGATGCTGATTCATAATGTGGTGGTGGTGGGGGGCACGGGAGGATTAGATGAACTCTAGATGGGGCAAAGGGGAAAGGGGGAGGGAGGGGAAGGGAGGAGAAATGGGGGTAGGAAAGACGGTGGAATGAGATGGACATCATTCCCCTAAGTACATGCATGAAGACATGAATGGTGTGACTCTACTTTGTGAACAACCAGAGAAATGAAAAATTATGCACTATATGTGTACTATGAATTGTAATCCATTATGCTGTCATACATAACAAATTTAAAAAAAAAAGCTGACCAAAACAACTATACAAGAAGCTTTTCTCGAGGTGTAACTTTGATCCCACTTGCTATGCTAGTTGAGTTCCTTCCATGCAGAGAAAAAGCGCCAGCCCCCATCCATGGAAGGGCTTCCTAGCCCACCAGAAAAGGGCTCAGCTGTCTCAGCCCCGAGTCTAACACAGAACTGCTCACATCAGGACATTCAATAGCTCATTGAATGGACACGGGTGGATCTATCAGAAAGTCAGAAACTGGTGGCAAGGACAGAGTGATTGGGAAAGAGTTGGAGCAGGACTATGGAGAGGCTGGTTACCCCGGGAAAGTGGTCCTTGAGCAACTTCGCGGTTTAAACCCGAGTGGGTCTGCTGAGTAAGGTTCCCATGTCTGAGCTGTTTTTGGAGACACTTCATGATTCACACCCAAATCATACAAGACGAAAGAAAATACTGGATGAAATCAAGCCAGACATTAAGTTTTGGGGGAAAGATTTTTATTGGACAAATTAGAAAAATATTGGTATTGTGCTTCGGAGAAACCCACTTCTTTCCTCTGGCTGCAGGGGCAGAAACAACTTCAGTGGCAGATGGAGAGGGAACAGGAGTTGTTTGAAGTGAGCTTGCTCCATCCTCCCCAGGCTGGCCGCAACCCCATGCTCACACCCACCGTGCTAATCTGGCAGCCTTGGCATGAACCAAGGGGAACGTCCGTTGATAGTAAGGACTCGATTATATGGCTGGGCTATGGAAGAGGCAAGCAGGACTTGAATGAAGACTCCCTGCTTGGACCAGTCAGGGAAGCTGCCTGCAATTGGCTGTTCACAGCTGAGGTCCAGAGTTTGGCCAGAGTAGATTTATGCCCCCTTGTAGATACCACCCTAAAGGAAGCCCAGAAGACACGAGCATCCTCCAGAAGAACCCAAAGTGACAGTGTGTTTTTTTTTTTTTTTTTTGCTGCTGTGACTAAAGGACATGAGCAGCACAATTGTAGAGGAGTAAAAGCTTATTTAAGGGCTTATAGTTTCAGAGGTCTCAGTCTGTAGACAGTTGGCTTTCTTTCTCAGATCTCTTAGGTGAGGCTGAACAACATGGCGGAAGAATGTGGCAGAGGGAAGCAGCTCACATGGTGATCAGAAAGAAAAGAGAGATATCTCTACTAGCCAAATACAAATATATACCCCAAAGCCACGCCTCCAATGCCCCACCTCCTCCAGCCACACCCCACCTGCCTTCAATGACAACCCAATTAATCCCATCAGGTGATTATTTCACTGATTGAGTTAAAGCTTTCACAACCCAATCATTTCTCCTCTAACCCTTCTTGCATTGTCTCATACATGAGCTTTTGGGGGACACCTCATATCCAAACCATAACACAGTAAAAACAGAGAATCTGAAGGAGCCCTTTAATCATTTATCTTCTGAGTCCCTAACAGGTGCTGAGTGGATTAGCAGAAAAGTAGAAATAAGTGATGAATATAGGTACAAATTAACAGCATGTCCATCCATGCCAGGCCCTGGAGGAGTATCCACGCAAACTGAGTCTTTTTTTTTTTTTTTTTTTGCTACCAGGGATTGAACTCAGGGGCCCTCCACCATTGAGCTATATCACCAGCCCTATTTTGTATTTTATTTAGAGACAGGGCCTCACTGAGGTGCTTAGTGCCTTGCTTTTTCTGAGGCTGGCTTTGAACTTGCAATCCTCCTGCCTCAGCCTCCTGAGCCACTGGGATTATAGGCATGGGTCACTGTGCCCAATGCAAACTGACCTTTAAGCATCAACATCATTCTTCAGTTTCTATGGCTTCTAATTATTCTAAAACAAACAAAAAACCCAGTTCTTTCTTCACATAGCAAGGCTCCCATAGTACAGATGTCTATTAATGGACCAGAGTGGGCCAAGATTATTATAGACCCACACCTGAGACCGAGATATGGGAAAGCCAGGCTTAGACAAAGTCACAAGAGACCAAGATTATTTGCTTAGGGCAAACCATGTGACTCTAGAGACTCTGTATCTACATACGTGTGTATATGCACACATACCCATGAGGCCCTTGCCAATGCTTATTATAGCACTCTACACCAACTGAAAAATCCAAATGTGTCCTTTAGAGGTCCCCTAAGCATCCTTCACCACCACATCCTCCCAAGCTTTAGAGTGACTGAATAGAGTTCAATACAACCAAGATAACACACGCACAAGGTGCCGGAATAACCACCACTGACCCCAAGGTGTCTTGGGGTCTGCTTTGCTACCCCAGATTCTTGGCTTGTGTTATTCCATTTATTCTAACAACCAAGCAATGATACATACATTCTGATTATGGCAGGTTTATCAGGGACAAATGAAGCTCAGAGAGGCTGTGTAACTTGCCTGAAGTCATAGAGCAGGGATATATCAGAACTAGAAACTAAGGATGACCAATGTGACTTTAAAGTTGAGTTCCTTCCACTTTGCTAAAGTCTTTTGCTTAAGAGGAAAATGCAAAACTTGGGACAGAGTCAAATTACACTTATTGATCATGTTCAAGTGGGCTAATTCATGTAACCCCTGTGCTGATACCTCTCCCTAAACACCTGGTGGCTCAGAGTCAGAGACAGGGTCCAGATGAATGGGACAGATGGTCTATTGGCCTGGCCATTCCTTATGTCCTTGTCATGGTTCAACTGTAACAGGTTCATCCTGTCATCTCACTAGTGAGATGTGGGGCATTTTCTTGGGCCTCCCCTCCCCATATATGGCACCTTGACCCTGGGTACCATTTTTGGTGAAGCCACACAGGTCAGTGTTTGAACAGTAATAAGAACTGAAATGACTTGAATGTGCATTTCTACTATCAAGAGATGAATAGTGTCAGTTGAATGGCCTGCTTTTTAAGGGACCTTTCAGTACCCCCTTAGTCGTCACAACTCTGGAAAGCAAACCAGCTGGACTAGCTATAAAAAGCCATTTGCTTCATGACCAGAAGATGGAGATACAAAGACTAGACAGACAGTGTGAATAGGCTGTCCAGGGGGCAGCTGACCATTTCCATTGCTGCAGAGAGAGGGAGCTACCTGGGTGACTTCTGACATCTGGTTCCATTTCATTCCCTCTTTAAAAGACAATAAATAGGAAGTCAATTCTTCATTGGAGAAGCTTCAGGTTTGATTATTTCTTTAACTCGGTTTCATTGCAACTTGGAGTTTAAAAGCCTGGGAGCCCATGCTTAGCTCACCAAACACATAACACCTAAACAACTCCAAAAAGGCAGCCTAGACATGGGTCATGTACCAAGCTGTTTAGATACAAATATGTCTTTAGATTTAAATGTGATTTAAAAATCATCGGTCCTTTCCATTAGACTTTTAAATAATTCTAAGTTACATTTGAAATGAGCTAACGAGTTAATTCAGTCTTTTTCTGATAAAAAAAAAAAAGACTGTTGCAATTAAATGTTACCATAAGACCCGTCGGGAAGCATGCATATGGGATCCACATGATGTGGTCATGACTCCATTAATACCAGCGCGATTAGAGCAAAGTTGGATGATGATGGAGCTCTCACATGAACTGTTTCTAAACAATGATGCAAGCGAGAAGCGCATTGGTCCCCAGGACACTTTGCCAACAGATATTTGCATAGCAGGCTCTGCTGCTATTTTCTAATTCTGATGAAAGGGGGGAAGACATAGGATGAACAGTATGTGTGCATTTATGAACACGCGTGTATGTGTGTTTGCTAAAGAAAACGACTTACACCTTCTTTAAATCACTGTTCACTGTATTACTCTTCATACTTCTAGATCTTCTTTAAAATTAAATACACATACACAAAACCAGAGGGATGTCCTTTTTGCAACATATTGTACCTAGTCCCAGGATGGCAAGCCGATAGCACCCTTGCTGCCAATGTCCCTCCAGAGTCCAGAGAAGATCCTTCCAGTGGATCTGGCCCCTTCCCTACAAGCCAAGCTACTGTCTGACACTCTACTGTCTTCCATTCAGGGATCTAGGGAGTCTCTATCCAGGGGCCAGGATTGCTGGCCATGGGCTAACCTAGATTTGGCCTAACCCTGCTCTCAGAGAAACTGAAAAAGATGTGAGAGAAAGAAAGTGGTTTATATACCAGGTCACCAAACAATGCTACTAGGCACAATAACTTAGGAAGGAAATGAAGAACATCTTGCTTTCAACACAAAAGGTGTTAAATAGCTTCTATGGATGAGTCATTGGGTT